TGGCGAAACCATAGGCAAAAGTAACCGGATTGTCGACAGGGAAGTTGACAGGAACTGAAAAGTTCAGAAAAACTGTAAATATATCCCAAAACGTGTTGAATATTGTGACTGATTCGATTGGCTAACCCTGTCCCTGGGTTCCCTTAAAAGCACAGTCCGCGGTGATCGTAAAGGCGGAGCTTACTGTTGTGGACTTCGCCACCAGCATGCCACTGATTCTTACCGTCACGGCAGGAGACGCGCATCAACGATAAGGACACAAATGGTTGACTGTTTCCGCCCATATGATCAACATGGACTTTGCCCGTTAAAGAAACATTATCTACAGGAACCTAGCCAATCTAATCAAAGGAGTAGAATCGATGGTTTAGGCGACCGATTGGCCTTTGATGAATCCATTTTATAGGTCGTATTTGGACCTTTTAGCCATCTTTTGAACCCATAACCAGGGTTGGTGATGACCGATTTTCAGTTTGTGCATGTTTAAAAGGACCCTCCCTTCCCAGAGCTTTCTTTTAATCTCTCTCTCCCTGTCCCATGGACAATCTCAGCTTAAAATTTTTTCATGTCCATTGCACCCTTTTCAGGAAATGCGACTATGACTTGCAGGGGTCAGCCGAGGTGCAAGTTACTGTTTATATTCTTCTATTTTGGAACTATTAGGTTGTTCGAAAAGTCCTGCGACACTTTGATTGAATTGTTCTAGAAAAAGACCAAAAATCATTTTGGATGTTTTTATCCCTGATTAGTGGAGACTGTCCTCTGGGGTTTCTGCACATGGGTATATCATGACTTTGTGGAAGTTTTCAAAGCTTAAAAGTCCCTCAGAGATCGAGGTACTTTTCGACCTATCCCATATTATGAGTTCCTGTAGGGCCACTCCGCCGTTAGTCTTCAGAAGGATGATCTTCTGACAAGGTTACTAAATGACCGTGACTGAATTTCTTCTTTCATATTGCTCAGGCTGAAAGAATTTTTCGTGAGATATTACGGTTGGTAGCGAGTGTTGGAGTCTTGCGTACATCATGCACATGTCCCTCGCAGGATCTCTCAAACAGTAAAGTAGATTGCTTAGCCAAAACAGATGTGCTGGATGGGAATTTCAGTGTAGTTGATTTAAGCCCGGTATCACTGGTAGAGTAGACATTGTAGAAGGATTACAGTCCCCTTATCGGGCTTCAAAATATGGATAACGTCAGCCCTTGAAATTATTAAGAATACTGTTTTTTTAGAAATGCGATCATACCAGGTTATGTTACAAGTTGCAGCCTACTCCATTACCACCTTCTTCGATCCGTAGCATCCTTACAAAAGCGAAAATTTCGAAAAATACGATTTCCACTGAAAATGAGGTTCCACCTCTTATTTTATCATAGTTGCCGAGTTCTAATGAGAATAGAATAAGAATGCTGTGCAAAAGAAGGCCCTATCTGTCATCAACTGCGGTTACTTGTGACTGGAATGTCTTTTAGTGCGTCTAATTTACTCCGAAAAATTTGGTCAAGTGTAGCATTACTTTCGAACAACTGCTATAACCAGCTTCTTATGGGTGGAAGATGTGATTTGTCAGGGAAGTTAGCCGATGCGTATGTCGAATTCTGGAGTGTACTCCCTGTAAGCGACTTACACTTCCTCCCCAACAGGTGAAAGGATTTTTGAGAAGCTATCCACCAGTGGTTTTAGTCTTTGGAAAGCGATTCGGCTACTCGGAACTAGCCATATGCCACATAATTCTCACCTGGTACAGCGGTAGGCGTTGGTGCGGCAGCAGTACTGGTGACAGACGAACTGCCAGTATCTGTAGAAGTGCGCAAGTATTCGTAGTACTTGGGGAGATTGGATGACCGCCGACGACCTGCACTCGGAAGCCGAACAACGCAGACGCAACACGGCTGGCGGTAGATCGCTGGTTTGTAGTTCTGTATGTTGTATTAGATACTGCGTAAACCGTCTTGGAAAGTCGAAAAATTCTAATGGAAGTGGTGGAGGAATGATGTGGTAGGGCGTATTCTATTCGTATTTCGTGTCTTAGCGGTTGTAGCAATGGTAGTACTTGTTGTTGTTGTGCTTCGCGTTTCGCTGCCTAAAGTCTTCTACGCATAATATTGCACAGTAATAATAATAATAGATAATAATGTAAATAGATAATAATAATATCAATAATAATAAATTAATGTATATGAATAATAATAATAATATAATATAGATATAATAGATATTAATGATAATCAGGAGTTATTTAGGGGGGTTCCATAAGTTTTTTTTTGCAAAACGAAGATCCTGAAGATCATCACTTGAAGGTCCTGCTGCTCTTCATACAAGAACAAGGCGTAGGCATAAGAATATAAAAGGAATAGATAAGGCAACGCAGATCAAATAATCAGAAATATGAGGTAAGAAACCTAATTAACCAAACAATAGCGTTAATAAACTTTTCTTTTAAGAGATTCTTCTTTTAAAAAATACTCCAGATCAAAAAACTAGGATTACCGTAATATGGACGAAAACTTTTGCCAAGTATGAAGGGGTAAGGAGTGCTCAGATACCTTAAAAAGCACCCCTGGGGACAAGTTTTAACCAGTTTCATGATCTGGAGTATTTTAGAGTCAGTGCTGTAGCGCGGGCACTAGATGGTTTCGTGCCAAGCGGGTGATTCCCTGGAGGTCAAACTACCCCAGGAGGGAACTGATATTCGAATCTGCCTTTGAAGAAAAAGTCTATTAAAAATTGACCCGTTTTTGGGAGGCTGCAGCTGGGAAGGGTAAACATCGAAGCTTATCCTCCAAGAATTCGTGGGGTATTTCGGTCGCTGGAGTGGGGGCTGTATTTAGTGTCAAGAGAAATCTTCTCAATTCAAAATTTCCTCTTTTATGTGCGCTGAGCCCCTCCCTTCCCCATGTCAGCGGAAGTGCCTACTTGTCCACTCCCTTCCCCTTCCACTTCACTCGACCATGAAAGTTCCGTAGGAAGGTGGTAGGTAGTAGAGAGTGGAGGGTAGGGGGTTTGAAAGTCGTACCGAAAAAAAAATTCGGAAGATTGTACTAAAACCACGCCTTTAATCAACCCGACGCTATACCTGTATAAGGACCTCTGTGTAGATGAAGGAATTCCAATTGCAAGAATCCTATCCTTATTGAGGTGATCCCAATTTTGGACAATGAGTTTCTCAAGCAACCCCTCCCCTTACTTATCGCAACGTAAATCAAACACATAATGACACTAAATATAACTTCCCCCTTGCTAGAAAAGAGGCTTTTTTCCGCATGCCGCAATTGCTGTAATTAAAAAAATTATGTCAACAAAGCTTACCATCAAAACACTTGAACGCTATGTATCGCTTCTCGGATCTCTGCTCAGCCGTACGACCGGTACCCACAGAAACATTGAGATAAATCTAAAAGTAATTCAAGCAGGTAAGGAACCTGAGAAGCGGGGCGTGTGTCAAACAGCGCTCAGACTTCGCGATGACGCGCGACGACACGCTGTAGCGTGCGTGAACGCTCGTTAGACACCCGCACACTCCGAGCGAATGTGCCAGTAAGAGCATGCGCATTTGCTCAAGTTGAATAATGCATGTTGCTAACGCAATTGGTTACGTTATAAAAAAGGAATATTCATTAAAGTATATGCAATTAAGGATGCAAAGGACAACTATGGTTCGCCACGGCCAGCCCTAACGACACACATTCATCTGCTTAACCTTCTCTTTCAAACCTAAGCCTTAATAAAATAATGCGTAAATGTGCAAAAATCGTTGCACTGTAGTAATCTTGATAGAATTCGCCACATCCTACTCCATCAGTAGTATAAGGGTTTTCCCCTCCCCCACCTGCCCTTTCAGGTATTTACGACTATCCAATCTTGAAACGACGAAAATATCTAGCATCTTCTGTGTAGGACACACTGCGATATACCCACGTTTAAAGCAGTTAAGTTGGGTGCGAATGCCGCGCACGCGAGACTACCTGTAACACCTCCCTTGCAGCCTTTGCCCCAACGTAGAACTCGTCCAGCAACCCCCCCCCCATGCAACCCCGTCTGTAATTTGAATAAGCTCAAAACACGAAATAATAGAGGCTTAAAAAGAGCGAGAAAAGCCTACTTCTGCCCATAGCCAGTTCGTATCTGCCGAGTTGCATGTCAAAGGTTCCTGAAAAAAATGAAAGGATCATTCAAATTGGATTTAATTTACAGTATTGTACGCTGAAGACGCTGGGACGTGACAGA